TTCGCAGCCATTGATCTTCTCCCTCCTATCCTATCTCTTTATTTTCGCATTATCGGACTTTGGATATACCGTGTATTAGGATGATATTCTGTATTTTAGAGGCTCAGATTCGTGACACCGGGTCCTAGTGAGATTATATTGTGTATTTTGTTAAAATCTTCAGTACTTTAATCTTGCTTAAGTGATATTTCTTTCCGCTATTTTTGATAAATTGGGTTAAGTGTTGAATAATGGTCGGGCTTGCCTAGTAGTGTGTTGGGCGCCATCACGACCGGGATTTGGGTCGCGACAAGAGTGCACCTAATCAATTTAATATCTATAAATGCTGAAGATATTATTAACTGTTTTTTGTTCAGAGAAATTGAAGGTAACAAGATAAATAGTTGGCAAAACAAGTAAGAGGTAAATGCTAGTAGTTGGTAAATGCAATAAAGAAAATAGTAAAAAATAAGGCCACAAAAAGTAGGTGATATATGTGATAAATGACAAAAAGTAGCTAGAAAATGCAAAAAAGATAAGTATCAAGTTAAAAATATAGCAAACATGCTAAAGTCGTACAGCTTTTTCAAAACACTTCAGCCCAATGTGCTGAAGATTTTAGTGTATTTCTAAAAACTTCAGCCCTTGATAAAGCTGAAGTTGTTGTATTGGATTCAATAGCTTTTATCATACAGCTTTTTCAAAACACTTCAGTCCAATATGCTGAAGTTGTTTAGTGTATTTCTAAAAACTTCAGCGCTCGATAAAGCTGAAGTTTTTGTATTGGATTCAATAGTTTTTGTCGTACAGCTTTTTCAAAACACTTCAGCCCAATGTGCTGAAGTTGTTTAGCGTATTTCTAAAAACTTCAGCGTTGGAAAAAGCTGAAGTTTTTGTATTGGATTCAATAGTTTTTGTTGTACAGCTTTTTCAAAATACTTCAGCCCAATGTGCTGAAGTTGTTTAGTGTATTTCTAAAAACTTCAGCGCTAGATAAAGCTGAAGTTTTTGTATTGGATTCAATAGTTTTTGTCGTACATCTTTTTCAAAAAACTTCAGCCCAATGTGCTGAAGTTGTTTAGTGTATTTCTAAAAACTTCAGCGCTGGAAAAAGCTGAAGTTTTTGTATTGGATTCAATAGTTTTTATCGTACAGCTTTTTCAAAAAACTTTAGCCCAATGTGCTGAACTTATTAAGTGTATTTCTAAAAACTTCAGCTCCCCTAAGCTGAAGTTTTTTTGTTGGATTCAATAGTTTTTTCGTACAACTTTTTCAAAAAAAACTTCAGCTCAACGTGCTGAGGTTTTTTAGTGTATTTCTAAAAACATCAGCATTTGATAACCGGAAGTTTTTGTCATTCAGTCGACACTTTTGTTATGACTTTTAACCAAAACTTCAGCTTAAAAAGCAGAAGTCTTTTACTTCATGCTTAAGTTTTTTCAACCAAAATGTACTTAAAATTCATAATAAAAGACAGAAACATATTTGTATGAACAAAAGTGAAATAAAAAAAAAAATACTTAATGTATATTCACAAAATACAAATTATGTGCAACCAATCCTCTAATCAAAAAAATCACACACAGTCTCTTCAAAATCTCCATAATCATGTCCTTGTTGTTCTTCTGGAGTTTCATAGCTGCTATCTTTTTTCCACTTTCCATGAGCTCAAAGATAGGCAGTCAATTCTCTCCTGAAGGTCAATGACTGACTTTGATCGAAATTGAAGACATCTTCTTTATTCAACCGCATATCAATTAACTTAAGAGCAAATACACCACAATCAACACTACAAAAAGAACATGAAAAATAGTTAACACAAGGGCAAAAAATAATAAACATAAGATGCATGGTAAAACATATGAGAAACACGTACTTGTTAGTCTGATGCGGTGAGCTCATCCACTTAATTTGAAATTTTTCCACAGGACTATCCCCATAAAATTTATTGTGTACCCCAAATTCCAAGCATTTGAGACAGTGTGGGATCAACCGGGCATAATTTCTGACATGTTCAACCGCATGCTCATATGTTACACCGCCCATGGAATCATACACATATATAATTTTATCTTTAAATTCTAGAATTCCAAAAAAGTAGTGCGTAGATCTCTAGCCCGTCATTGGCTTAAGTCGAAATGGAAAGAATACTTTTCTGACAGATGCCCATGAGATATCACAGGAAAGGTCGAGGCCTTTTACGTAGTTGGCCACCTTTTCATTTGTTGATTCTTCCTCAAACTAACTAAAGTCCGTAAGTGGCCGAATAACTGCTTCTTCTTCTTCTTCTTGAGCATGTTGTTTGGATATCCTCTTTCTCTTTGATTTGCTCTTTTTTGATCCTCCGTTCTCTTTTGCTTCCTTTTTCTAATTTTATCCATCTATTCTTCTGAAGGATGAATACCAGCCAGCTTAGTCATATACTGATAAAAAATTAAATCAGTTACTGCAAATCTTGATTTTGGATAAACTGGAAGGTGATAGCAATATTTTTTGCGCAAGTAATATATGCCCACATCCATATGCTGCAAATGAACAACAACAAATGATAACATGTGAAAAATCTACAAACAACATGACAAAAACTTAAGCATATTCAGTTTGAAATGTTAGAAAATAATCTAAAAAACTTTAGCATGCTTGATTTAAAAGTTTTAAACTAGAGAATGCATGTCAAAAACTTCAGCACTGTTAGGCTGAAGTATTAGCAAATAAGCTAAAAACTTCAGCATTTTAGTATGAATAAAGCTAAAGTTTTTCAAATTATAGTACAAAAATTTTACTATAAAAAATAAGCTAAAGTTTTGGGAAATACAGTTGAAAACCAATTCAAAAAACAAACTTAATAACTTACTTCATCCGCAAGATCAGAGTTAGGATCCATAAGCTTGGTAAAGAATGAAATATCAATTCCAGCTAATCTGAATGGATTGGAATCATATTCACTGGCATCCATCTCCAACCACTCTGTAAATCTTTACATCAATCCACTGTCTTGATTAACACAATGGAAGAGACACCTTCGTATATTGTTTCCTACTTTCCAGTCTTGCCCCCTTTCCTTTCGTTTATGAACTACGTAAGGAGATCTCAACCAAATACTCTCCATACGAATCCTTTTCCCTTTTTTCTGGGTTTCCTTTTGCTTGCTCTTCCTGCTGTTCCATCACAACTAACTGCTGTTGTTCACCAGCAGGGGGAGAAACCACACCATAGTGGCAAATACTTGACCAACTCCCTACTGTTCACGACATTCTTGTCTCTCTTCACGAACAACAACAGCAGCAGAATTACTTTCTGAATCGGTCCCTTGTGTACTACCAAGTGAAAATGAACATAAATTGAAGTTGGGGATATCACTGGTGTCACACATAAAAGAACTGAAAATCTTCCTTCTCTTAGGATTTGGAAGAAGTTGCGATGCATCAGATGATATCTGCAAAAGCAAGAAAAATATAAACATAAATAAAACAGATACAAAACACACATTAGGCAAAAAAATAGCTTGTAATCGAATTGCAGAAAATAACTACCTGGTTTAAGTGTTGAGACACAGATGGTGTTTGCATTCCAACAGATCCATTTCCTTTACCTTTAGATCTACCTGTATCTTCATGCGAAAAAAATAAAAAAATATATAAATAATATCAACACACTTCACACTTGTCTATGAGCCAATAGGTGTGAATAAATATATTTCTCCTTTTTGATATAGCTGTATAAGCTCACCAAATTCTTTTTGAGCTGCCTCGAGTCTTTCTGAAAAATCATTCAAAAACATAACAAAGAAAATAAAATATGTAAAGTTTCAAACTGTAAAAAATATACTTCGATCAAATGTAATAAATTCATGATCTATAGAATACTTTAATGTTTGTCTTCCGCTGTGGTTTCCCCAGGCTGCATGCCTTTCTCGATATTAGCATTTCCAGCTTCATTCAATTGTGCACCAACGTAGAGGAGCATTGGAGTATTCTCTAGAAGGTTTTTCTCAACTCTACCTTCATTTAATTCAGCATCATCAGAGACTTTTTGAGTTGTGTCAATTGAAGCACAACTAGTTTCAAATTCCACTGCATATTCATAAAAAGTGGGAATAGATCAACTAGTTTTTCTATATATATAACATAGTAAAAATTTATACCTGTAGTGAAAATTTCACTACAGGACATTATCAAAAAGATCAGTTAAAACTTCACTCTAAGCCTGAAGTTTGACAGTTACAAAAACAAAACTTCAGCTCTAGAGCTGAAGTTCGATAGGTACAAAACAAAATCTTTAGCTGAAGTTTTGTTTCATGTTTTATGTTTTTTTTGTTATATATTTTTACAAACTATTATAAACTTCACACTTTATACCTGTAGTAACAATTTCTTGCGTATCACCACCTAAAATTTCCTTGCAAATAGCTAGTACTCCATCAAACAAATTGCCCTGTCCAATATCGCTTTCCAAAGAACAACTCGATGCATGTTTTTCAGTACCAACAACTTGATCATCTGCACCTTGTTGTTGAACATGTTCATCGCATTCACCAGTCGCTTCCTTACGTGTAGCATTATCATCTACGACTTTACGCGATGGATCATGAGCAGCATGTTCTTCAACTTGATTCTGAATATGTTGATCACCTTCAAAAGTTGCTTCCTCATGTGTAGCATTTACATCTGCAACTTTATCTGATGCATCATTAATATCCGATGGAGGTTCGTAACAGTCAATCACCCTATCATATTCTCGATGGTTACTCAAATCAAAATTGCCATCGTCCATTTCATTTGATTTGTTGACAATTTTAAATAACTGTTCAAACTTCTCATCGAAATATTCCTAGAAACAAAATTACTTACAATGATTAATCTGAATAACATCAGCAGAAATAAAAAGACTTCTCTATAAATTATCTTACCTTCATTTTTACAAAAACCGCATCAACAATAGCAGATCGCTCATCCTTTTTAAACTTATCGAAAAATTCGTTCACGATCGTACATCTTTCTTTTTCTGCATGCCTTTGAACCTCCGCCGTTAACCTCTAGAATAGATACACAACAAAAATTTAGATACAGAAGAAAACTTCATCTCAAAAACATGTTGTACTTTTACAAAAACAAAACCAAAAAACTTCAGATCAAAACTTACAGAACATATTGTCTCAAGTAATTCATTGTCATCAAAGTCAGATGTAGAACGGGTAGAACGACTCTGGGTACGAGATGATTTGCCAATAAAAGGAGTTTGATTCGGTTCTTTTGATCGACTCCGACTACGTGGTGATTCACCAATGACAGGAATTCGATTCGCTTCTTTTGATCGACTCAGAGTACGTGGTGATTCACCAGTTGAAGGAACTGTATTAACTACCTTTGAATGAATTAAAGGCATTGAATTCAATTCCTCTTCTGTAGGAATTATATCCAATACCCTAAAGTCGCGATATCTCTATTTAATACAAAAAAGTATATTATGAGGAGAAAAAAACTAATACATCAACATATTAACACAAAGACAAAGAAAAAGTAACTTACTTCATGAGTACTAAACATATGATAAAGTTCAGGAAATTTAGGCTCTCCCACACATATATAATCCTGGGAACTTAAGGGGTATCAAGGTACTCATCCTCTCTTATATACCTCTCCCGAACATCTGGGAAGCGCTCATAGAACCAAACACATAACAAATATGGAAATCCACCAAGTTTATACTCAGTTGTATGTAATTTGTTCTGCTTGTCCAATGCATGTTTCAGTGAATAAATGAGCTTCTCATAAGCCACATTACCCCAAGGATATTCAGCACAAACCTTGTCATCTTCAATAATAGATGCATACTCCTCCATCACACATGACTTAGTATTTTTCCCAAACAAAATAGACTCTACAACAAGAATTTCCATAAGCTTAACATCATCATCATCACTCTCGCATACGTGTACATGATTCACAACATTCTTTGTAATTTCATTGCGAGTCATAAAACTTCGAATATCCTTCAAAGTCACACCCTTGGACTTACCAAAATACCACTTCAGAATATTGCTCTCTCGATTAATTGGTTTTTCAATATTATGTGTTGTGATCCGCAAACCACACATAATGTGAAAGTCTTCAAGGGTGAAGGAAACATCATGACCAAAAATCTTGAAACTAATAGAGTCTCGATCATTGGTGAATATTTGAGAAAGACATAGACAATGAACCAACTTCATGCTGCATTGGAAATTCTCCATAGCCATAATGTATCGAAATGTACCCTTTTTAAGCTTATCCCGTTGTGTAGGAGTCAAGAAAGTTGCAATTAATTTCTTCAAATCATGGTTCCCCTTCCAGTAACCCTTACAGTTAAACCAATCTCCAAACTCAAAATAATCTTTTCCCTGGTCTTGTAGGTGGAGGAGCAGGGACATAAGGACCTGGGGGTATTATAGGTTGTCTAGGTGCTTTGCCTACTTTAGCTGCATTAGGATCTTTAGGTGCTTTAGGAGCCATCTGTTCAAAAAAAGTAAAAGTTACAAAAAATTAACATCAGGACATTATCAAAAAGATCAGTTAAAACTTCAATACCTAAGAAGGCTGAAGTTCGACAGTTACAAAGACAAAAACTTCAGCCCTAGAGCTTAAGTTCGACAGTTATAAAACAAAAACTTCAGCTCTAGAGCTGAAGTTCGACAGTTATAAAACAAAAACTCCCAGTAACAAACAGAAAAACTTCAACTCCTTAAGCTGGACTTCACCAGTTACAAACACAAAAACTTCAGCTCCTAAAGCTGAACTTCACCAGTTACAAACACAAAACATTCAGCAAAAAAACATGTTGTAGTTTTGACAAAAAACAAAACACAAATTCTGTTTATCTAAGGTATCATTGAACTATTATAAAACAAATAATACTACAGCTCCTAAATAGTATCATATATTTAACTCTCGAAATTTTTAAATACTCGTTCAAAAAACCTAAATATAGAATTTTCATCAACAACATAAACACTCGTTCAAAAAACCTAAAAACACAATCGTAAAAGTAAAACTAATGCACTTATCAAACTAAACCCTAAGAAAATATTTTATCATAAATACATGACTATCAAAACCAAAACCAGAAATTAAATCGTAAAATAAAACCCAGAAAGTTATTGCAATGTACCTGTGATTAAATCGTAATGTGGGAACAACGACGACTAGTAGTTGAAAAATCAAAACAACAACGAAAAACGTTTGATTTCAGAGACGAACAAATCAACAAATGCGAATAACGGGAGTGAGAGACAGAGACAGTAGAGGACTAGCGTATACTTGGAGAGAAAGTAGTCTTTTAATAAAGAATGATAAAATAGTCTTTTCAAATGGCTTTTAACAAAAAAAATGGGTACGGATACAAACAAAAAGATAAAGCGGTTACAGATTAAAAAGGGGCGTCCAAATAGAACGCCCCGTACAATTTTTAACTGACTGTTCAATTTTATATTTTGCCAGGAAAAGAAAGAAGCCAATGGCCCAATTATGGATGACATGAACCTGAAGCCTTCGTTTCTTGTCTGAGAACTGACTGATTTTTTGTACTTCCTTTTGTCTGAAGTGAAGCTGAACTGATCTTTCCTAACCGTGCACGTTACGAGTTCTACTAAGTTGTCCTTAGTCTCTTTATAGTAATATACTTTCTTTCTCTTTTTTTATTTGTCTAACAATTTTGTATCTAAGTGGGAGTTTGAACATAAGAATTGTAAAATTTCAAGAAAAAGTGGAAAAAAATTAAAGTGAAAATGGTATTTAAAAATTAGAGTTGTGTTTGAACATAAATATAATTTTGGGTTATTTTTGAAGTTTTGTGAGTGATCTGAGTCAAAATTTTGAAAAATAGTAGCTTTTAAAGTTTTTCAAATTTTCAAAAAAATTCCAAAATGCATCTTCAAGTGAAAATTGAAAATTTTATGAACAAACGCTGATTTCGAAAAAAAAGTAAAATTTTCCCAAAAAAGAAAACTATTTCCTATGTCCAAATGGGCTCTAAAATTTAGAGAGCCGATTAATCCAACAATTTGTGTTTGATTAATTAATTTGAAAAGCATTTTTGAGCAGTAATTAGAGCCCGTTTGGATTAGCTGATTATAAATAGCTAATAAGCTTGAAGTGCTGAAAAGCATTTTTAAGTGCTTAAATTGATTTCTTAAATAAGCATTTACGTGTTTGGATATAAGTGCTGAAACTGATAATAAACAAATGATGTGTTTGATAGAAAAATGCTAATAAGTTGTTCTTTCATTAAAATAACTAAAATAACCTTAAATTTTTTACAAAAGATAATAAATTAAAAAGTTTCTTTGTAAAGAAACAACGAATATGGAATGAAAAGAAAGTTACAAAATTTATTTTGGGAAAAATATTTTGTGAATTAGAAAATACTATCAAGGTTAAACTAGTAAAAACCTTGGTCAAACTATAAGTGCTTATTGTGAGCACGTGATTTTTGCCTTACGAAAAACTACTCCAAAATAAATCAAAAATAAAATAAATTTCTTTTACTGTGTAATTTCTGAATTTGCGTGATGCTAAATAATTGTGTTATATCCGTAAATATTTACTATGTCTTAATAAAATGAAAATAAAATAAAATACATATTGCATGCATATAGGATTTAATTATGCATTTAAAAGATAATTTAAATAAAATCACAAAAATATGTATTGGTTCTATTTCAAATGTTTCACTGTGTGATTGATGTTTTGTCTATGTGTTAAATAATTGTTATAGAGTAATTAATATATTTTTGTGAAGTTAAAATTATATTATAGTTAATATTATTGTAATGATAATTTTGTTTTTATTTTTAATTAGGATTTTATTAATTAATAAAATCAATAAATAAAAAATATACAAGTTGTAAAGATTGGACCTGGATTAAAATCCAGGCCCAAATCAATTTACCCCCCCTGTCAGCCCAATCCAAACAGCCTGTCCGGTCCAATTCAAAGCCAGAACCAAACGACGTCGTTTGGTCACCTCTCATCAAGGGCCGTTGGATTAAATCCAACCAACGGCCAAGATTTCATCACCCTAACCCAAGACCCTTACCCGATCCATTAACCCGATTCAGTCCGACCCCAACTTTAAACCAAACGACGTCGTTTGGTTTAATGAATTAATCCTGGCCCTTCATCTTGCTTGATCGGACGGACGATATCAATCCACCTGTCATCAAGTAAAATCGTCTCGATTAAGTTCGTCGATTAGTTATATTACGAATTTTCATTTTTGAAAATACTGACTAAAACAGTCTGCTTCTATTGTTTCAGACTAATTATTGACAAATGTTGTAAATAGTCAACTGATTAATACTCGTCAATTAAATCATGTTTGTTTGTGAATCAGCGAATTCAAATGTATGATGTATATGTTGTTTTCTGAACAGGGCATTGTCAGTATATTGACAATGCTCCTGTGTATGTTTGATCTTAGTTCAATTATAAGTTCAGTTTGCATTATTATGCTGAACTCAGTGTAATATTGTCAAGTTTGAGTTCGAGTTTACAAATGATGATTAGATGTAATTGTGATAGAATGTTTACATTCTTAGGATTCAGTCCAGAACCTAAGAGAATTGGTTATAGCTGTGTTAAATCAGGTTGATAATTAAGTTTGAACAGATTTTTAAATCTGTTTTGTAAATTCTGTTACGATTTTGCATTTAAGGCAGTAATAATAGTGATCACAGTAGTATTTCTGGGATAAAAGCAGTAGGGTAATTTGATAATAATAGAGGGCTGAAAGTGGTATGTTAATGGCTATTAGTTAATGATACTAATGGGGAACAAAGGGTAATGGGGCTGCTTAAAATCAGGATAGGATCATTTAATTTATTCAAAAGCAGTTTTAATGGAACTTTTTGATTTTAAAAGAAGAAGGGGGTCCAAGAAGCACTTAAAAAGATAAAGACCAGCCTTGTATAAATATAGGGAGCTGGACAGCTTAAAAGGGGCAGACTTTAAGAGATTTTTAGAGGAGAAAAAATCTGAAAAGGCAGATTTTGAGAGAAAAACAGAAATCTGAGAAGAAAGAAAAATAGTAAAGGAAACAGAAAATAGAACACTCACATACACACTCACACACAGATACAGCAACAGAAACAGAAAATCAGAAAAAATGGGAATTTGAAACTGAAAAGAAACTGAAATCTGAAATGTTGTTCTTTTGTTGAATCTGTTCAACTTTATGTGATTCCACTGTTCAGTTAAAATCTGAAGTGTCTTTTAAAATACTGTATTGTGCATCTGGTTTCCTCGGGTCGTATTATCGCTCAAATCTGTGGAAATACTGCTATTCTGTT